TCCCTTTTTAGCCTACGTGGCACTAGTTCGAAAAAAAAAGTCAGTCATCGTTGGGCCCACAAGATAGTGCCACGTAAGCTAAAAAGGAGTAAAAAATTATTAATAAAATAAGTTTAGGGGAGTAATAGGACCTTAGTATAGTATAAGTGTGTCTATGAGATTTCGGGCATAGGCTGAGGGGGTACTTGGGCATTATCCTTTTTAAAGTTATTGAGTTGCTCGAGCCCCTGCCTTCTTATACGTTATTCTGAATATTAAAAGTCTAGGTCATTTTTTGTATAAGATGCTCTAAAATGGAGATTTTAAAAAAACAGGGATAATTAATCATGAAGAGAAATTAATATTTGCTTTTAGCAACTTCATTTTCCTTCTCACTTTCAACAATATGTCGAATTTTAAGTTCCTTTTTTGTTATTTTTACATTTGAAATGACCTTAAAAAAAAAAACCCCTACCTAATCGATGTTAATCATGCTAGTTGCAAAAGAAGTCTCTAATTATCCTTTAAATAAATACTTGAATTTCTACTGTAAATCAAATGCCAATTTGCTTGTTTAAACATGTCTTACATGATCTCGTAGTTAACTTGCATATAAACCATCATTAGGTCATCTTTCGTTGTTATAGCTGGTAACTTATCTTATTTTCATAATTACAAATCTTACGCAACATGGAGGCTTACCTAAGTATCTCACTCTTTTCAGGAGGTGCGGACAAAACAAGACCATGTTCATCAAGCCATTAGTTACATTGGGGAACTAAAAGAAAGAAAAGAGGTATTAAAGTGATCATTCAAGGAAATCCATGTCTACAACTAGTTGTAGTATAATAACACCTGTGGTTGAAGTTAGAGAGTTGGATTCAACTCTAGAGGTCATCATTTTAACATGTGGTTTGCAAAAGAATTTAACATTGCAAGAGGTTATTAAAATCATAGAGGAAAAAGGAACTCAAGTTGTTTCCACTAATTATTATTATTCAGATGCTCATTCAATTTATGCGACACTTTTTTCAAGTCGGTCCAAAAAAAATAACATTACTAAAAACTTACTACTCCCCATTTGACTATAAACTCGCTTCCCATCCCCCTTAACGTGGTAATTTATATTCACATGACTTCTTTTAGATCATAAGTTGAAAGTGTTACGAAAATTTAAGCTCATTGATCAGACGAAGACGCGAGAAGGAAGTATACCCGTTATGTACATAGCTAGTTACTTTTGAAAACTGAATTAATTAACAATGCTTTTCTTGTTATGTAATGTTTGCAGGTGAAAATTACTGAGATTAGGGGTTGATGCTTCAAGTATCCATTTGAGATTAAAAGATCTGATTTGCTAAATCACACACGTGAAAATTGAGACTCAATTTTCAATTTAGGACTCAAAAATTCTTCAAATGCCGCAGTTCGACGCCTTTATCATTGTTTGTCGTCAAATCTCCTACACGACACACAATGCGCAAGCACTACGTTCAAGAAAAAATACATATTGCTACAAAATTAAATATGAATTTATTCGTAGATAAACACTACTTTAGCTATAAAAAAATTTTCGTAAAGATGTTAGGTGGTTAATAATTAGCTACAAACTTTACGTGGTCCATGACTATGAACTAATATATATATTGCTACAAAATGTTTGTGTTGTAGTTATATTCTGATATAAAGTTCCTGCCACAAAAAAATATATTTATAGCAAGTTATTTTATTCTTTTGCCGTGATAAAAGAAATTTGTAGCTATCTTCATAGATTCATCCATAAAAGTATT